GGGGGGGTTAAGTTTTTACCATGGTGTCTGGGGGGGGGTGGGCAACTACTTGAAGGCTAACAGTTGCTTCAAGCTGTGACAGAAGCAGTTCCATAAGGTTCAGCCACAATTTGAAAATCCCTGAGCTAAACCATATGCTATGGAATGACAAGACATCCTGCTTTTCCAGGCTGAATGAGTGGGATCCATTATACCTGCTTTGCTCTGTATTTCCTAATTTTGGAGAAAGTTTTGGTATTTTTAAAAAAGTTGAACATTTTTTTTCACAAGGACCATTTTACCATAATTCTTAACTACATGCTGAACAATTTCATTATCTTCCCAATAAAGAAATTTAAGAGTAAATTGGCATAAATTAGAACATGCTGCCTCTCTTCTGGCATCCAACCCATTTTAAACAGAAGTATATTCTTGTTTAAAAAAAAAAAAAAGATTAGTTTCTAGCCTTTCAGTCTGCAAAGTGAAAAAATATCTGTTCACCATTACTTCGCTGAAAAGATTTGAAACAGTAATCTGAAGGAATCAAAAAAAACCCTCACTATTCATCTTAAGTAAATGTTAAGTGTGGAATTTACATAGTTAATTATTTTAGTATAAGCATTGTGGTTCTATATCACAGAAACTAAAGATGGAAAAGATTAATGAGTGCTGACCCCTAGAGCTACTGAAGGAAAGTTCCCTACATAATATATTTTCTACTGCCATAGCTGGACCAGTTTTAAATATTCCAAGTTATGGCCGCTTAGTTAGTAGACCACAGGTAGGAAGTTTTTCCTTATTGTTTTCAGCATTTTTTAAACTGTAGCCTATTAGTCCTTGATGTTCATCAAGGCTCTAAATATACTATCAAGGAAAGGGAATATATGAGTGCAGCAGAGCCACGAAAGAGGAGAGTAGTAAAGTGGGGAACCTCCAGATAAGCAACCACTGGCCAAAGAGCAGTGAAAGAGCAGGGCATGCGTTCCATTGTTCCCCTCTGCAAAAGCACAGCCTTCTGAAGTACCACTGACTTTCTCCATAGCAGAGGAAGTTGAAGGTAGACAGCACCTTGCAGGAGGAGGCCCTAAATTCTTGTATTTAACAGTTTCACTTGCTGGTGATTTTTCAACTTATTTTACTGCTGCCTTCTCACCAATTATACCTGTTATCCCCTTTTAAAAAAGATATAAACCATACAGTAATTGTAATCTCACATAGATTTTGAGAAAATGGCACACAATCCACCAAACGTATAGAGTAACTCTTTATTACTGGGGTGGGAAAGGGCAAGGGGAAGAATGCCAAGTAGCCATCTACAATGTATGTGACATGCTGTAAAAGTCAAGCTACTTGAACAAAGCTAGTGACTATGAACTATATTTTGCCTCAACTTATTTCAAGTCCACTAGGTCCACCGTGTTTAGCACATATCTTTCTAGTGTGTCTATCATATACAACATATGTAATGTATTTATTGAGGTCACGTTCCCAGATGACTTTTGAAATCTTTACTTCAGACCTTTCTAGTACTAGGTCCACCGTGTTTAGCACATATCTTTCTAGTGTGTCTATCATATACAACATATGTAATGTATTTATTGAGGTCATTTTCCCAGATGACTTCTGAAATCTTTACTTCAGACCTTTCTTGGAATTTTTCCACAAGTTGCTTGCTGTATGGGACAATGCTGATAGGAAGGAATTCCTCAAGCTCCCACCTCCGTAAAATAACAATGTTATTAATCACTGGAACTGATCTGCTCTTGCAAGGCTTCCAGAACCTCCCGCTTCTTATGCTAACACTATCTAACGTTAGTGACAGCTGAAAACAAGTGGGCTGGCCTGGGCTCCTAACAGAAGCAGCTGCCAACCTGCTGAGGCTTAGATGGTGTAAAAGGGGTTTATATTTCTGTTACAAGCAAATCTATGTGTTAGAAGTTAAGAGCCTCTCTAATAGCCCAGGCTTTACTAAATAAGCCCTTTAATACTCCAGAATCTGAACAGATCTTACCTGACAGCAGTTGATCTAACCTAAAGTAAAAGCCGTTTGCACAGCCAGATGTGGCACGCTGCCTCCTGGCCTCCCGCCCAATTTACCTCTAGCGCCTGCATCTTGAACGCTTTTCTTTGCATAGCTCTGGCCAGGGAACTGATTCGGCCCCCAGCATGTCGGTTTTTGTAAGTTCCCACTGAGCTGCGCGCCTCCTTTGGCTCCCCGCCGCCCCTCCGCCGCACTTCAGGTACTCCCTGCCTCCTGAAGTGCGCTGGGTCTAGGTACTCACTTGTGTCTTCTTCATAAGGAAAGACAGCGCTGCAATCCAGCCCAGCCGGCCGCGTGCACTCTCCCTTCAGCGGCACTGTGGCTCCAGCATAGTGCAGCGGCAGCTAGTCCACGCATTGGGGTTGCCCAGAGTGAGCGTCACTCTCTCCCCGGCCCCGTGGCTCGCCAGCCGCGCTGCTCGCTATTTCTCCGCGGCGTGTGAGCAGAGGCGGTGACTGAGGCCGAAGCCGGCGCCGGGCCAGTTCTTTTATAGCTCCGATCCGTCTCCAGCAGCAGGCGCAGTGAGCCGCGGCAGCCTCTGAGCCGGGGCGAGACACGCCTTTCCCCTCCCTCTCCTCCCACAGCCGCCGAGAGCGGGCAGCAGGCGAGGCAGCGCAGCAGGGAGAGAAGTTCAGCGCGTTCCCAAGCCGGGTGCGAAACCCGCTCGGCCCCGGGGGCAGGCGGTAGCAAGGGGGCGCCATGCGCTGGGGCAGCCAGCGACCTGGCCCCGCTGCGCCCTGGGGAGCATGTGCCACGTCTCCGGCAGATGCACCTTGGAAAACAAAGCTGGGGGCTGCGGTTGCGCCCTGCGCGCCCCGGAGGTGGCACCGGCCCGAAGCCCCTCGCGGGGCTGAAGCAGGCCGAGGAGAAGGGACTGGGAAGCGTGTGGGGAAGGGCTGTGGGGGCTGGGTTTAATTCCCAGGCAGAAATGCTGGAACTGGGAATGCTGATGCTGCTCCCCCTGGCCTGGCTTGAAATGGCTTCCCTCATGTGAAGGGTTCCCGACTTGGTTCAATGGGTCTGGCCACCACCGCTATGTCAGTTGTCCCAGCGCGCATGTTCCCAAGTGGATGCTGTGCTGTATGTGGTTCAGGCCAAGGTACTGACAGATCCCAGTGGGAGCCTTTGGCACCCAGAGTTTGGGGGCAACAGTGAAAGGGTCCTTACTGTGATTTGCACAATCCTCATTGCACTTCCATATTGCCAGAATTACTCTTCCCCATGTCATCCCCTAGCAGCTCCTGCTGAGGTCTGGTTCCCTTGGTGCATTTGTTGGCCAAATCCTCTGTTCTCTCTGCCTCGCCCCCACTATTCTGCAGGAGACCAGAGGGACTTCTCCTGAAGTGAGACAAGCTTTTGAACTACACAGAGCTCTATTTCATGTCTGTGAAAGGCACTTAGGCCATGTCTACACTACAAAATTATGTCAACCTAACATATGTCAGCATACAGCCAACGCAGTTATGAAATCATTTGTGTGGTGCACAATTGCATTATCAGTGTGGTGCATTTTGTGACACATGGGAGGCCACTGACACGTCATTGGGGGAGACTAGCCCTCAGCCCTCCCCCTTGTGCCCAAGGCCCTGCCTCTCCCCTTGTTTCCTTTGTCTCTGATGGCCCCTTCCCCCATAGGAGCCCCTCACCACAGTCCCATGCCCCAGCACCTGGTGGCTCAGGGACAAGGCCCCAAACCTGGTGAAGTGGGTGGCTGGGCACCATGACCACCGTGCCCTAGCCCCGGTGCCCTATCCATTTTTCACACAGCATTTGGGGTCAATAACAAACTTAAATTTCAGGCATGGTGGAACAGTGTGGCCAACAGTGCCAGCCACCCTGAAACTGCAGGAGGCAAGCCAGCCGGTCCCAGCCAGCCTGGGCCAAGGCAGAGCACTGGGGGAAACTGCAGGAGTGGGCCTGACTTGGAGCATGAGTGGAACAGATAACCAATTAAACTTGATTTTAAATCCGTATTGCCCATCTCGTCAAATAATGCAGAAACAAGGAAATGAAACATCCTATAGCTGGGTTTTTGCTAAATTTTCAGGACTAAAAGACTAATATTTTAAGAATGGCAATAGTTGGTGAGTCCATATCTTGAGAGAGAATGCTGTTTTGTAATATGCATTTGTATATTTCCTTTTCATAATTTGCTGATTAAGAATAAGCAGGCTATTAAGCATTTCAATGAAAAGAAAAGCTTATAGAACTTTGTCCCACTTTCATCACATAAAAGTAGTTATCTAATACCTATCTATCAGTGTGCCTGCACAAATGTTTAAAATATGCTTTTAAAAATGTGCATAGTTTTAAAATAGTAGGCCACCTCTAATAGTACTTTTAAAAGAGTAGATTATTTTGCAAGATGACACCATTGTTACTCTCATTTTGGCTGGGTACTCCATCCTAGCAGAAGTAATAGAGAATATCAATCTCCATCTAACAGGATGGATAACAGATCTGAGCATGCCTTCCATAGAGGGAAAAACAATTTATGAGGTCAACATTTCCTGAGAAGTACTTTGGCTATGGTTACATATTACAGGGATGGCCAAACTTTGCTCTGTTACAGTTAAAGTGCAGCTCAGGGAGCTCCTTCTTTCCCGAATCTGCACCTAGCAATCTGCACAGAAAGACGCTCAGTGCTTCTACCCTGCAGTGGGTTGGTGAGGTTAGGGACATCACCATACATGTACATCTTTAGTTTATGTTTAAATGTGTCCACGCTTAGAAATAAATATTCTTACAGTTTATTCCTTCTTAAAAGAGTGAAATCTCAATGATTTGCATAAGTGCCAAAGAGACCTTTTGTGGATAATAGATTTTTTACAAATTAGCAAGTAAGCGAATTCTGATATTTAGAAGTCTAGATTCTGAATATAGGCTAATGTGGGGAGACCCCTGTACCAATGCTGAGCTATATTTATTGCAGTGGGCTCAGTGGAAACGCTGGTGTCCACCCACACAGATCTATTTATGGGATTTAGCCTGAAAAAAAGCAACTTTGTTAATTTATTTTACAAGGATACTTTCAGAGTATCTATTTATTCTCCATGCCTTATTGAAATCTCTGAACTTAGTTAACAGCATTTTATAGTACTAATAAAGGTTTAGTAATATGAAACTACCAGATTAATTGACTAATTGGCTGGCTAATTCAGCTGGCTAGACTAAAAGTCATGATAGATGTCATGTCCTAGGCAAATACAAACTACTATATGTTTAAAAACATTATTAATATTAATGTTCTTAACTATTACATTGGCGATCTAATTAATTTAACTGTTTTTGGTGATGTTGCTATATCTTTAAAAGAGGATCCAGTTTGACAGCCTGGTGAGAAAGGAAAAGAAAGTTTGTACCATAGATACAAATAGTGCAGAATGAGAACTGAAGCATGTGCTGCAGAGGTTTGTAAGTTCTGCTAAAAAAGAAATGTACAGGAACATCTCCAAGTAATTAAAACAGAGTTTTACAATTGTGATGTTTCTTTTTGTTAAGAAGGAACAAAGAGGATAACCAAGTAAAAAAAGCCAGAGACTTAAGCTATATCTTCATTGCAAAAAGATGGGGGCTGTTTTACAACCACATAAGTAGTTCACATTAACTGTCTGGCTGTAAGATTCTAGACAAGACTGGGCACTGTAGTTTTTACTGTGACGTGTCCAGGTGAAGTTTACACTAGAACCCCCCCAATCATGGCTGATTTTGTCTATTTTACTTTGCAGTAAAAATAGAGTGCCTTGTTTCCACTAGTAAATCTTCAAATCTGCAGATACTTTCTTTGTATTGACAGATATCTGCATCTGCAGATGTGGATGCAGATATCTGAAGCTCATTTTTTGCAGATATTAATGCAGCTACAAATTTTGTATTTAGAACCCTGCAAATTTGTGGCTATCCACAGTTATCTGCATTCATGGCTCATTTTTGCAGATGCAGATGTGGATGCGGTTACCAATTTTGTATGTGCGCAAGGAATTTGTATATACTGGAATTTTACACCAAGATAGCTATTGTGTGCTAATTATTCCACACCAAAAATGCACCTTTTTAGTGAAGACAAAGCCAACATAAGAGCTTGCACTGAGACAGCCAAAACCTCTAACACAGACAAGACAGTGGAAAAGTACAGCTTGTAATTGCTGAAAAATAAAGGACCACATGAACTTCCTTGCACTGTATTGTAATGCAAAAGAAACTTAAAGAAGCTCTAAATACACAACCAGGAATTTCACTGACATGAGAGAGTTCTCAGCTGGAACAGAGCTAGCACATGAGAAATGTGTTTGGAGAGAGTACTCTGGCAGTCAGTCCCCAATTGGCTTTTTGGTCCCTAGAGGCTGTTACAAGTTCATATAAATTAGACGCAGCTCCAAGGCTCTGAACCAGTCTCAGGTGGCTCTGAGGAGTGAGAGAGTGCAAAGATCGCTTATAGTCATAATTGACCTCTTTCCTCCCTTGCCTCTCCAAATTGTGGCCAAGAGAAGTACCAGTTCAGCTGAGGATTCAGGCAAAAGAAGGAGAAAATAACATACCTGCATCTTGAGAAATAGTTGCCTTTGCTTCTTTCTTAAGGTTGTAGCATAGCATGTAATCTCAGAACCCCTAAACTGCACACTTGTAAAAAATAAATAAAATAATTTAAAAACTAGCTGGGGAGGTTTTGCTGTGAATCAGCATGAGCCAAACTGAGCACTGCAACTGCTTACCATTGTTAACCAGGGGTACGTCTAGACTACCGGGTTTTGGCGACAGAACTTTTGTCGACAGTATCTGTCGACAAAACTTCTGTCGACAAAGAGCGTCCAGACACATTGAGTTTTGTCGACAAAACTCAATGTGTCTGGACGCTCTTTGTCGACAGAAGTTTTGTCGACAGATACTGTCGACAAAACTTCTGTCGACAAAGAGCGTCCAGACACATTGAGTTCTGTCGACAAAGCAGCTTGCTTTGTCGCCAGAACTCAATGTGTCTGGACGCTCTTTGTCGACAGAAGTTTTGTCGACAGATACTGTCGACAAAACTTCTGTCGACAAAGAGCGTCCAGACACATTGAGTTTTGTCGACAAAACTCAGTAGTCTAGACACACCCTAAGTGAATAGTCGATAGATTTTCTGTCACTATTCGATTAGGGACGTAATAGCATTTTAATATCCTAATTAACAACCAGTGCGATCATTAAGTTTATGTTTAAATCTGTCCATGCTTAGAAACAAATATTCTTAAATTTATTCCTTCTTATAATAGTGAAACCTCAAAGATATGCACAAGTACCAAAGAGACTTTTTGTGAATAACTGATTTTTACAGATTAGCAAGTAAGCAAATTTGGAGTCGTTTCTGAATATAGACTAATGTGGGGAGACCCCTGCACCAATGCTGAGCTATATTTATTGCAGTGGGTTCAGTGGGAACCCTGGCGTTCATTCACACAGATCTATAAGACTGATCTATAAGGAAGCTATAAGATCCCTTAGCTGTCCCTTCTGAAAATGTCTAGTTTATAAGTTGCAGAGTACTGAACCAGATGCGTGATGGGA